ATGTCTTTTATTTATTCCTACACATATTTGTGGAAATATATCATTAATATACCTTACACTGTGGTAGTTTTGTTAACTGTTTTAAATAATTTTGAAGTAAAGTTACTTTATTTTTAAACAAATTGTTTTGTTGAACTTTTAGTTTTGTGATTCATGTAGTAAAGAGGACATCAAAGTTCGAAATAACAGAGAAGATTTTCTATATTGAAAAACTCAGACTTAAATATTTTAACGGTTAACATTTAGGTTACAAAACTATTGACTAACACAGTTCTTATCATACAGAACTATAGACTAACACAGTTCTTATACAAAAGTATTGACTAACGCAGTTCTTATCATACAAAACTATAGACTAACACAGTTCTTATCATACAGAACTATAGACTAACACAGTTCTTATCATACAGAACTATAGACTAACACAGTTCTTATCATACAGAACTATAGACTAACACAGTTCTTATCATACAGAACTATTGACTAACACAGTTCTTACTATTGACTAACACAGTTCTTATCATACAGAACTATAGACTAATACAGTTCTTATCATACAGAACTATAGACTAACACAGTTCTTATCATACAGAACTATTGACTAACACAGTTCTTATCATACAGAACTATTGACTAACACAGTTCTTATCATACAGAACTATAGACTAACACAGTTCTTATCATACAGAACTATAGACTAACACAGTTCTTATCATACAGAACTATTGACTAATACAGTTCTTATCATACAGAACTATAGACTAACTCTGTTCTTATCATACAGAACTATTGACTAACACAGTTCTTATCATACAGAACTATAACACAGTTCTTATCATACAGAACTATAGACTAACACAGTTCTTATCATACAGAACTATAGACTAACACAGTTCTTATCATACAGAACTATTGACTAATACAGTTCTTATCATACAGAACTATAGACTAATACAGTTCTTATCATACAAAACTATTGACTAACACAGTTCTTATCATACAGAACTATAGACTAATATAGTTCTTATCATACAGAACTATTGACTAACACAGTTCTTATCATACAGAACTATAGACTAACACAGTTCTTATCATACAGAACTATAGACTAATACAGTTCTATAGACTAATACAGTTCTTATCATACAGAACTATTGACTAACACAGTTCTTATCATACAGAACTATAGACTAACACAGTTCTTATCATACAAAACTATAGACTAACGCAGTTCTTATCATACAGAACTATAGACTAACACAGTTCTTATCATACAGAACTATAGACTAACTCTGTTCTTATCATACAGAACTATAGACTAATACAGTTCTTATCATACAGAACTATAGATTAACACAGTTCTTATCATACAGAACTATTGACTAACACAGTTCTTATCATACAAAACTATAGACTAACTCTGTTCTTATCATACAGAACTATAGACTAACACAGTTCTTATCATACAGAACTATAGACTAACTCAGTTCTTATCATACAAAACTATAGACTAACTCTGTTCTTATCATACAGAACTATTGACTAACACAGTTCTTATCATACAGAACTATAGACTAACACAGTTCTTATCATACAAAACTATAGACTAACGCAGTTCTTATCATACAGAACTATTGACTAACACAGTTCTTATCATACAGAACTATAGACTAATACAGTTCTTATCATACAGAACTATTGACTAACACAGTTCTTATCATACAAAACTATAGACTAACGCAGTTCTTATCATACAGAACTATTGACTAACACAGTTCTTATCATACAGAACTATAGACTAACACAGTTCTTATCATACAGAACTATTGACTAACACAGTTCTTATCATACAGAACTATAGACTAACACAGTTCTTATCATACAAAACTATAGACTAATACAGTTCTTATCATACAGAACTATAGACTAACACAGTTCTTATCATACAGAACTATAGACTAACACAGTTTTTATAATACAGAACTATAGACTAATACAGTTCTTATCATACAGAACTATTGACAAACACAGTTCTTATCATACAAAACTATAGACTAACACAGTTCTTATCATACAGAACTATTGACTAACACAGTTCTTATCATACAGAACTATTGACTAACACAGTTCTTATCATACAGAACTATTGACTAACACAGTTCTTATCATACAGAACTATAGACTAACACAGTTCTTATCATACAGAACTATTGACTAACATAGTTCTTATCATACAGAACTATAGACTAACACAGTTCTTATCATACAAAACTATAGACTAATACAGTTCTTATCATACAGAACTATAGACTAACACAGTTCTTATCATACAGAACTATAGACTAATACAGTTCTTATCATACAGAACTATTGACTAACACAGTTCTTATCATACAGAACTATAGACTAATACAGTTCTTATCATACAGGACTATAGACTAACACAGTTCTTATCATACAGAACTATAGACTAACACAGTTCTTATCTTACAAAACTATAGACTAACACAGTTCTTATCATACAGAACTATAGACTAACACAGTTCTTATCATACAGAACTATAGACTAACACAGTTCTTATCATACAGAACTATAGACTAACACAGTTCTTATCATACAGAACTATAGACTAACACAGTTCTTATCATACAAAACTATAGACTAACGCAGTTCTTATCATACAGAACTATAGACTAACACAGTTCTTATCATACAAAACTATAGACTAACACAGTTCTTATCATACAGAACTATAGACTAATACAGTTCTTATCATACAGGACTATAGACTAACACAGTTCTTATCATACAGAACTATAGACTAACACAGTTCTTATCTTACAAAACTATAGACTAACACAGTTCTTATCATACAGAACTATAGACTAACACAGTTCTTATCATACAGAACTATAGACTAACACAGTTCTTATCATACAGAACTATAGACTAACACAGTTCTTATCATACAGAACTATAGACTAACTCAGTTCTTATCATACAGAACTATTGACTAACACAGTTCTTATCATACAGAACTATAGACACAAACAAATGTTGTCTGATTTACAACACATCTATATGTTAAATGACACTCAATTCAAATACATCTGCTCTTGTATCGCTATAGACCTATAGACTTCATTTTAAAAAATCCTTCAAAACTTAAATCAACGCAATTTTTGTTAAATATATCATTATAGAAGATGTGAACAGCATGACACCAACAACACGTTTGTACAACAGAGTAGTAAGTGTGACGGCGAGAGAGAGAATTGGATCTAGCAATCACTGCATCAGACAGGCGTTATGCGATAGTCATACACTGAACACGTGCGATAGATTTTTTCATTTCCGTGGAAACGTTATCTTCTCTTCGTGAAAACATTTAATTAATATGTTTTGGGTATTCTATTTGTAACCACAGTCTGAGGAAATAAAACCTGTAAATAAGCAATTCGTGTGTTTGTTTCCGGGTATAGGATTGTTGTAACACGAATATCGTGGAGTGGTGCCTGTATAGTGTGTAAATGAAGCCTGTGTATAGAAATACCGTGGTGTCATGTCACGTGTTCATTCTATCAGTACAACCTTACTCTGTTTACGATATAATATTCGTCGTTATCATAACGTTAACACTTTATCAAGATATATCGGGTGTAATTATGTTTACACTTTATCGAGATATATCGGGTGTAACTATGTTAACACTTTATTAAGATATTTCGGGTGTAATTATGTTTACACTTTATCAAGATATATCGGGTGTAATTATGTTTAGACTTTATCGAGATATATCGGGTGTAACTATGTTAACACTTTATCAAGATATATTGGGTGTAATTATGTTTACACTTTATCAAGACATATCGGGTGTAACTATATTTACACTTTATCGAGATATATCGGGTGTAACTATGTTAACACTTTATCAAGATATATCGGGTGTAATTATGTTTACACTTAATCGAGTTATATCGGGTGTAATTATGTTTACACTTTATCAAGACATATCGGGTGTAACTATGTTTACACTTTATCAAGATATATCGGGTGTAATTATGTTTACACTTTATCGAGATATATCGGGTGTTATTATGTTAACACTTTATCGAGATATATCGGGTGTTATTATGTTTACACTTAATCGAGATATATCGGGTGTAATTATTTTACACTTTATCAAGATATATCGGGTGTAATTATTTTACACTTTATCGAGATATATCGGGTGTAATTATGTAAACACTTTATCAAGATATATCGGGTGTAATTATGTTAACACTTTATCAAGATATATCGGGTGTAATTATGTTTACATTTTATCAAGATATATCGGGTGTAATTATGTTTACACTTTATCAATATGCTAAAACTTTATTAAGGTAATCTGTGAATTTCTTAATGCTTTAAGATATATTGTGTGACATTACATGACTTCTGTCTTCAGTTAGATTGTCCGTCATTATTGGGACATCCCAATTCCAATCTACTGTGTAGAATGGTGAGAACGCTTAATTAAGATGGATTGTGTTTAAATATGTGAACACCTGATTAACATACGATCTATGTAGCTACATGAACACTTTATTAAGATACATCTTGTGTAATTCAAATGAACACTTTATTAAAATTCTTGTTTGTGATTATGTGATTTCTTTAAGTAGACGCCGTACTGAAAGTACCCAAACGGATTCTAAACTTAACTAAACGAAGCTAAACTAAACTACACAAGCCTAGACAGAACCAAACGTTAGCATTAGTACAACACTACCATAACCAAGGAAACAACATACAAACCAGACACTGACAACATCAGCTTTAAAGATGAACGGGAAGTTAACACTTGTAACAACTAAACAGACACTGACAACATCAGCATTAAAGATACCCAACTGAATGGGAAAACAACTAAACAGACACTGACAACATCAGCATTAAAGATACCCAACTGAATGGGAAAACAACTAAACAGACACTGACAACATCAGCATTAAAGATGAACGGAAAGTAAACACTTGTAACAACTAAACAAACTTGAATATTTATTCTGACGCGGTATAACACTTGTTCTATTATTGATACTATTAATATTTATATTATACCTAATGTTTCTGGGACGAGTATGAAAGTTTGTGGCCAGATTGACGTATTTAAATGTTCAGCCAACTGGTGAACATGAAGTGCGGTTATTCGTTAAGATACGGACAATGTAATGGTTATCTTGTTTTGCATACATGTTGTAGTTCTTTGATGTTAAAAGGTGGAGACATGTCTGTATGTTGATGTTGAGATATTAGTTCCTCGTGTGTAGTATAATGGTACCGTGATTTACAATGTCCAGGACATGTAATGCTTCAAATTTATCATTATTTTTTTTTAATAATTCGCTTTGTGTGAATATAACAAAATACTTTTTAGAGAAGAAATACATTATCTTATATAACTTGAATTTATCTTTGATACTGAAAAAAGAAACAAAAGAATATTTATGGTGTCCCGACTTGCATCAAACCAAAGCGAGACAACTCTTGTAAGATTGTACCAAAGTACACAAGTGAACAGCACCTTTTAATAATTTAAGGTGCCATACAGTATAGCCAAACAATGAATTAAACTGCATCCTGTCCTTCTAGGACTCGTCAGTGATGCTAAGGGCCTAAATATTGAAGCCTAGGCGGCATCCAAGGAAAAGCCAAAGTGATCAAAAGAAAAGTCAAAATCTAAACGGAAAGGTGCAGCAGCCCAGTACTTAGATATATTTTGTAAATTTCATACATCATCTGATAATACACCGAAAAACAGCTGTATCTAGGGGTTTGGCTATACTATATGTAATTTTAGTATATTTAGGGATTCATTTTTCTTGTGTGTCTTTTTAGAAATCTTTAAAAAGAAAAAGAAAAAATCTATGTATACATTTAAATTTAAGAAAACGATACGGGTTCATTTACATAATCTGAGCCAAGGTCAGTATTTTGAAACCAAACTATGAATTTCACATGAATTGATGAAATTACAATGTATGTCAGCTTCCTCTTTAGTCGATGATGGACCTACCTTTAGTCATGATGGACCTACCTTTAGTAATGATGGAACTACCTTGAGTAATAATGGACCTACCTTGAGTAATGATGGACCTACCCTTAGTAATGATGGACCTAACTTGAGTAATGATTGACCTACCTTTAGTAATGTTGGACCTACCTTTAGTAATGATGGACCTACCCTTAGTAATGATGGACCTACCTTTAGTCCTGATGATCCTACCTTTAGTAATGATGGACCTACCTTTAGTAATGATGGACCTACCTTTAGTAATGTTGGACCTACCTTTAGTCATGATGGACCTACCTTTAGTAATGATGGACCTACCCTTAGTAATGATGGACCTACCTTTAGTCATGATGGGCCTACCTTTAACAATGATGGACCTACCTTTAGTCATGATGGACCTACCTTTAACAATGATGGACCTACCTTTAACAATGATGGACCTACCATTAGTCATGATGGACCTACCTTTAATAATGATGGACCTACCCTTAGTAATGATGGACCTACCTTTAGTCCTGATGATCCTACCTTTAGTAATGATGGACCTACCTTTAGTAATGTTGGACCTACCTTTAGTAATGATGATCTTACCTTTAGTAATGATGGACCTACCCTTAGTAATGATGGACCTACCTTTAGTAATGATGATCCTACCCTTAGTAATGATGGACCTACCTTTAGTCCTGATGATCCTACCCTTAATAATGATGGTCCTACCTTTAGTAATGATGATCCTACCCTTAGTAATGATGGACCTACCTTTAGTTATGCTGGACCTACCTTTAGTAATGATGATCCTACCTTTGGTCATGTTGGACCTACCTTTAACAATGATGGACCTACCTTTAGTCATGATGGACCTACCTTTAATAATGATGGACCTACCCTTAGTAATGATGGACCTACCTTTAGTCCTGATGATCCTACCTTTAGTAATGATGGACCTACCTTTAGTAATGATGGACCTACCTTTAGTAATGATGATCCTACCTTTAGTAATGATGGACCTACCCTTAGTAATGATGGACCTACCTTTAGTAATGATGATCCTACCCTTAGTAATGATGGACCTACCTTTAGTTATGCTGGACCTACCTTTAGTAATGATGATCATACCTTTGGTCATGTTGGACCTACCTTTAACAATGATGGACCTACCTTTAGTCCTGATGATCCTACCTTTAGTAATGATGGACCTACCTTTAGTAATGATGGACCTACCTTTAGTCCTGATGATCCTACCTTTAGTAATGATGGACCTACCTTTAGTATTGATGGACCTACCTTTGGTCATGTTGGACCTACCTTTAACAATGATGATCCTACCTTTAGTAATGATGGACCTACCTTTAGTAATGATGATCCTACCTTTGGTCATGTTGGACCTACCTTTTACAATGATGGACCTACCTTTAGTCCTGATGATCCTACCTTTAGTAATGATGGACCTACCTTTATTAATGATGGACCTACCATTAGTAATGATGATCCTACCTTTGGTCATGTTGGACCTACCTTTAACAATGATGGACCTACCTTTAGTCCTGATGATCCTACCTTTAGTAATGATGCACCTACCTTTGGTCATGTTGGACCTACCTTTAACAATGATGGACCTACCTTTAGTAATGATGGACCTACCTTTAGTAATGATGGACCTACCTTTAGTCCTGATGATCCTACCTTTGGTAATGATGGACCTACCTTTAGTCCTGATGATCCTACCCTTAGTAATGATGGACCTACCTTTAGTAATGATGGACCTAACTTTAGTAATGATGGACCTACCTTTAGTAATGCTGGACCTCCCTTTAGTAATAATGGACCTACCTTTAGTAATGATAGACTTACCTTTAGTTATGCTGGACCTACCTTTAGTAATGATGGACCTACCTTTAGTAATGATGGACCTAACTTTAGTAATGATGGACCTACCTTTAGTAATGCTGGACCTCCCTTTAGTAATAATGGACCTACCTTTAGTAATGATAGACTTACCTTTAGTAATGATGGACCTACATTTAGCAATGATGGACCTGCTTTTAACAATGACGGACCTACCTTTAACAATGACGGACCTACCTTTAGTAATAATGGACCTAACTTTAGTAATGATAGACCTACCTTTAGGAATGATAGACCTACCTTTAGTAATGATGGACCTACATTTAGCAATATTGGACCTGCCTTTAACAATGACGGACCTACCTTTAACAATGATGGACCTACCTTTAGTAATGATGGACCTACCTTATTAATGATGGACCTACCTTTAGTAATGATGGACCTACCTTTAGTAATAATGGACCTACCTTTAGTAATGATAGACCTACCTTTAGTAATGATGGACCTACATTTAGCAATGATGGACCTGCCTTTAACAATGACGGACCTACCTTTAACAATGACGGACGTACCTTTAGTAATGATGGACCTACCATAAACAGGGACCTAAACTCTGTTATTTTGAATGCTATACAAACTAATAATTTATGCTTCATACTTTGTACTACTGTCTGTATAAATTCAAGGAAAGTTTTACGTCATCAATTTGTCTCTCGGGTGCGATCACCGCAAACTTCCCACTAATAGTATCCCAAGCTGCTATAAAATACACTACAGGAAATGAATTATGTATTGTTACTGCACTTGTATGTCACAGATATATAAATAAGTAGAGATAAAACAAATTTTATAAGATAATAAACAAATACATAAATAAATAATAGAAAAAATATAAAACAATTCAAAAGCCATGAAAAGTTTAAATATTAACTTGAGGGGAGGCCTGGGAAATCAAAGTGCCATGTTTATAAATGTTACGTTGGAAAATGCCGTCTATTAAGATAACTTGTTCCTCAACGGTTTTGGTGGCTAGATATGTTTTATTATTCAAACACCTGTGTTCTTATAATGTTATTACTAACTGATACGATCGTAAAACGGGTAACTAATAAAAAAAAATGAAAAATCAGAAATTAAGAAAAATGACACTGCTATCAGCCTTTGTAAGGCGTAACTGAAAGAAGTACACCGAACTGACTCTAGTTTGAAAATAACGGATTAGACGAAAGCTAGACAACATCGGAAAACTTCCGTCTTGAATTTAATCGTTCATGTAATTAGGGCGGAAGTATTTATCACAAAAAGTAGTTTATTTGTAATGATAGCATATCAAATTTATGTACAGTATAGTGTTTTTCGCTTATACATTAACACAATCATGAGAAGATGAACAATTAGTCACAAAATGCATGGAATTGTATCGTCCCTATATCGACATGACTGGAAACTTGATACAGTAGAGTTAGATATGAATTAAACTGCATCATATAGCTAATTTGTCTTTCTAAGACTCGTCAGTGATGTTAAGGACTTTTTGAAATCTAGTAGGCGACTGGAAAATCAAAACTAACACACACACACAAAAAGATGTTCAGTAAACTTCCTTATTTTCATGGAATTGATGTTCTCTTTTTGACTTGTTTCTGTTACTGCTGTTTTTCTGTTTTGTTTTGTTTGTTGCTGTTTTTCGTGTTTGTTTTTATTCTTTGACAAGTTCCGATCATCACTACTAATAATAATTCCCGTTTAAAAAGAGTGTATCAGAAACAATTATACAATATGCTAAAACATAACAATAATCTCAATGAATCTGAGAATTGAAATATATTCGCTGATTAGTAATACATAAATGTTTTGAATTAAAATTATGACAATAACTGAGATATATCTTATTAAATACCACTTATACTGTAATATTTTTACATTAACAGAACTTAATTGTAGCCAATATTTACAGATAAATGATTTTCATTGGCCTCAAATTTTATGAGTTTTCCAAAAATATACATTTTCGTCGACACTTAATTTTATGAATTAATCTTGACCACAAAATTAACACGTATTAAAATCCATGTCAAATTTTGTCTGTTAATCATTTCGTGGATATAAGAATAGTGAAAATAAAATCCACACGAAAATTAATTACTTTACAGTAAGTAGGACCTGTCTATAACAACACAGCCTGATTAGTGAGATGTCTTTGTTTATTATCAGACTAATAACACAAAATGTTGACAAATTATAGGTATAAGTAGTAAACAGAGAAATTTTTTGCTTGTTTTCAACCGATAGATAAGTAGCAGACTCTCTCATTTTTAAAGAGAAATACTGTCGATGAAAATAATTACATCAAAATGATGTCAATTTATAAAAAAAATATATAACTAATAAAAACTTTTTTTTTAATTAGTAAAGAAACAGAAATTTTCGCTTGTGTTTTCTAATGACACGAGTGAAAGAAGGAGTAAAACCTCCTTTAACATACACTCTTAATTTCCACATTTGATCAGCATGTGCTAGGAATTTAAATTACCTTGGAGTAGATTAAAACTTCAGATCACTAGTTGAAAATTTAAATATTTATATTTATAAATCCTATCTTCCATGATTTTGCAAAACTGAAATAAGACTAAATATCTGACGTGAAAAATTCACCGTTTTATGCTGAAATGCTTTGAGAATTGTTTTGTGAACATTATAATGAAGATCGTCTACCTCCAAAGTGAATTAAACACGATCAAGCTGACAATATTTTATTACTTCAGTATGTGTCATTAGTATCGCTAAAACAAACCTTCAGGATTAATACTTGTAGATAAATCGCAATTAATCACATAGTATACGAACACCTTGATTACAATATCATGTCTGATGTATGTACGTTTTATTATATATGTGATAGTGAGTCATGCCTTTAACACAGTGAGCTGTATAGATGTGCAGCAATCTGTAAAATAGAAGTGAAATGTACAAACTTTTTAAAGTGTTACTTAACTTTTCTTTTTGAACTGGATTGGGGTTTTCACATAGAAATATTTAGTCTAACATTACATCTTCTCGGTATCGGCAGAATGCCAGTTTGTGATTCATGCATGCTTTCGCAGCCTCTACATAAAGTCCCGCATTTGAAGAACATTTGTAGACTTTCCACTGTAAGTAGCAGACTTGAACCAGTTTAAGCAAATGCTCCTCATGTGAATCAAGATCTCGTGCAAGTAGCGTGTCAATTATTTCGCGCCATGTGTTTTCATTGACGGTAGCCGCCACAGTGGTTGGAATCAGGGCAGGAGCATCAACGGTCAGGTATGTTGCTAGGAGACAGCATGTAAACGTCCTCAGAGCGTCCATGGCGTCTACAGGATTCAGACACGGGATAATCTGTCGAAGCGACCACGAAGACGTCACACCATGCAAGAGAAAAAAGTCGTTTGGTCTTTCGGATATTGCATACACTACAATAGCCTGGTCAATCAGCCAGTCTGAGAGACGGAGGAGAAATTCTGCGTCCTTTGAACTGCTTGTGGCTTGTGGAATTCTTAATCTGTTCGCATACTTAAGAAGTACGTCTCCACAATTCTCTGTCAGGGCAGAGAATCTGTTCGAAAACCCACTTCCTAAGAATCTCCCAGTTTTCTTGATTACCAAGGCCCCATCCAACATGTTCTGACGAAGAGATGTGTCAGCCCGCATCTCTTGTAGAAGATCCAATATAGCCATGTCACCTGTACCAAAGTTTGCAATATTGTTTTCAGTCTTCCTATCGTCGATTGTAAGTACAGCACAAGAGTGATGTAGATATGCTAGCCCTTCACATACCACAGTGCCATGTTTAACGTGAAAGCCATACCCTAGCTGAATAAGTCCATGAAAGGCTACACAGCCCAAGCCTCGAATCAGTTTTGGAAATTCGGCTTTAATGATATCCTCGAGGGACCCATGCACCTTCAATTTATCGATATAGGCGTTTCTGATTCCGTAGAAAGATATTCTCTTTCCACGAAGTTCTTGAAGTGATTCCTCACTAACTGGAAGCACGTTGGGATTTTCATCTGTATGGTCTGGGTGGTCAGGAGACTCCAAATCCTGACCACACCAAATAGCGAACTCCGCAATCTTCTTCTGGGATGCTCCGAGATCCTTCAAAGCGACAATGCCATGCGCCATGTGATTCGACATAAACCCATTGTACTCTATGAAGTATTTTTGAGTAGAGTATTCCTGAAGGATATCCGTCAGCCATTTATCTGTGTTTGCAGCCATCTGTCAAGTTAGATTTTTTATATTAATTAATATCATCTAATCTATCACACAGATGAGTATATATTATTAAGTTTCCAAAGTCGTTGCAATTATGAAAAATACTGCACCGATGTTTTGTTTTCACAGCAGAATCTGGATATGATATTGCATCCTCTTCAAACGTTAAGGCATTTAGTTCTATGATTTTAACTTACTATGATAAATGTTAGATGTCCGTGTACCGACAGTATATATACTTACTATGATGTTGTATTAAAACCGGAAACGGGATCTACAACGTACCGATACAGATACAGATAAATGTTAGATGTTCTCACTGTACCGACAGTATATATACTTACTATGATAAATGTTAAATGTCCTTGTACCGACAGTATATATATTTACTATGATAAATGTTAGATGTCCTTGTACCGACAGTATATATACTTACTATGATAAATATTAGATGTCCTCACTGTACCGACAGTATATATACTTACTATGATAAATATTAGATGTCCTCACTGTACCGACAGTATATATACTTACTATGATAAATGTTAGATGTCCTTGTACCGACAGTATATATACTTACTATGATAAATGTTAGATGTCCTCACTGTACCGACAGTATATATACTTACTATGATAAATATTAGATGCCCTCACTGTACCGACAGTATATATACTTACTATGATAAATGTTAGATGTCCTCACTGTACCGACAGTATATATACTTACTATGATAAATATTAGATGCCCTCACTGTACCGACAGTATATATACTTACTATGATAAATATTAGATGTCCTCACTGTACCGACAGTATATATACTTACAGTATATATATGATAAATATTAGATGTCCTCACTGTACCGACAGTATATATACTTACTATGATAAATGTTAGATGTCCTTGTACCGACAGTATATATACTTACTATGATAAATATTAGATGTCCTCACTGTACCGACAGTATATATACTTACTATGATAAATGTTAGATGTCCTCACTGTACCGACAGTATATATACTTACTATGATAAATATTAGATGCCCTCACTGTACCGACAGTATATATACTTACTATGATAAATGTTAGATGTCCTTGTACCGACAGTATATATACTTACTATGATAAATGTTAGATGTCCTCACTGTACCGACAGTATATATACTTACTATGATAAATGTTAGATGTCCTTGTACCGACAGTATATATACTTACTATGATAAATGTTAGATGTCCTCACTGTACCGACAGTATATATACTTACTATGATAAATATTAGATGCCCTCACTGTACCGACAGTATATATACTTACTATGATAAATGTTAGCTGTCCTTGTACCGACAGTATATATACTTACTATGATAAATGTTAGATGTTCTCACTGTACCGACAGTATATATACTTACTATGATAAATGTTAGATGTCCTTGTACCGACAGTATATATACTTACTATGATAAATGTTAGATGTCCTCACTGTACCGACAGTATATATACTTACTATGATAAATGTTAGATGTCCTTGTACCGACAGTATATATACTTACTATGATAAATGTTAGATGTCCTCACTGTACCGACAGTATATATACTTACTATGATAAATATTAGATGTCCTCACTGTACCGACAGTATATATACTTACTATGATAAATGTTAGATGTCCTTGTACCGACAGTATACATACTTACTATGATAAATGTTAGATGTCCTCACTGTACCGACAGTATATATACTTACTATGATAAATGTTAGATGTCCTTGTACCGACAGTATATATACTTACTATGATAAATGTTAGATGTCCTCACTGTACCGACAGTATATATACTTACTATGATAAATGTTAGATGTCCTTGTACCGACAGTATATATATTTACTATGATAAATATTAGATGTCCTCACAGTATATATACCGATAAACAGTATATATACTTACTATGATAAATATTAGATGTCCTCACTGTACCGACAGTATATATACTTACTATGATAAATGTTAGATGTCCTCACTGTACCGACAGTATATATACTTACTATGATAAATGTTAGATGTCCTTGTACCGACAGTATATATACTTACTATGATAAATATTAGATGTCCTCACTGTACCGACAGTATATATATTTACTATGATAAATATTAGATGTCCTCACTGTACCGACAGTATATATACTTACTATGATAAATGTTAGATGTCCTCACTGTACCGACAGTATATATACTTACTATGATAAATGTTAGATGTCCTCACTGTACCGACAGTATATATACTTACTATGATAAATATTAGATGTCCTCACTGTACCGACAGTATATATACTTACTATGATAAATATTAGATGTCCTCACTGTACCGACAGTATATATACTTACTATGATAAATATTAGATGTCCTCACTGTACCGACAGTATATATACTTACTATGATAAATGTTAGATGTCCTCACTGTATAAATGTTAGGTGTACGCTGTTACATTTGACAATGAAATGCGCTCCAGTACTGACTGGATTGCGGTGTCTTCTCTACCAACAGTATCTAATGTTCTGTGTCTGATGTAATCAACATAATATTTTCATGTGTGTTATTAACCGGGACATGGGGCCCAAACAGGGAATACTTTAGTACCTACCACCTACCCATCAAAATGTGACGAATGGTGTGTGGGCTTATCATGTGTTGATAACAGTTTTATTTAAAGTTCGAGTTCCCGTCGAATATATAAACATGTACAAAATGTTACTCTTTTAAAATTAGAATTGAAGTTACTTAAAACTTACATAAACAATTTTTTTTCTAAATGAAATACATCATGCTTTGATTATCACCTCGCTAAACTGGATTATGTCAACTTTCGAGTGAATTTCCAAACAAGCCAATGTTGCTCTCGCCTTGGTTGACCCTCTGACCGACTTGTGAGTGACTCGTGATTTTTGGGTTAAATAAATCTCCGATTATCTTATCCTTGTGTAGCCCATAAAGGTTGTGGGTGGAACTAGGTTATATAAATATACAAATATGTATAGGTAGTACTTCACATGTGTTTACATCAACGTGTCGTGCGTAAACATACATACGCTTCTTCTTATGCATCGCCACGATTTCATCCGTGCAACAAATAAGTACGTATCGAGATGTCCGATAGAGGAATATGTAATTTCAATGCAAGACATCATTTCGACATTCTATACCGCTAACTTTTCAACATTTAATCTCGCAATTTCTTCCTTGATAATACGAAGGCATATACAAAAGGCAAATCCATAATATTTCACATTTTCCCCCAATGGATATCTACTCTGTTAGTTCAACCATCAAGCTCAAATAACAAAAACTTCGGTCTTCTGAGGTAATACATGTCCTAAGAAACCTAACAGTATCAATGTATTGCGGTTTATCTATAGGTACCTACTGGTCGTTGTAGCTTGGTATCAGTGTTTTGTTTTTCGCGGCTAAAGGTTTCTGACTTATTGCACAAGTTTTCCAGAGATAAAATTATTGAAGACTTGAAAATTTTGGATCATCACCATGATCTCGTTTGTTCTGTTTCCCTGTAAGATATGAAGTCAGTTGTGTCTGTCGCCGTTAGTGTATTGGTTTCTTGTTACTGTACTCATTGCTCATTTTGACGACATGAAACAAATAAGACTGATCTAGATTTTAAAAGCTTTCCCTTTGAAGACACTAGGTCTTTTAAATTGTCTAAGGGATAGGAAAATGCGTTCTTTGTTCACGATTTCTCTCAATTGTACAGGTGCTACATAAAACAATAGTCTATGGCTTCCTAATTTTGTCTGTTACACCGGCACAAATATAACATTTTATAGTTATTGAGTATCAACAGTAAAACTAAGTGATTAAACTGACGAGATATGATATTTCATATATATTCATATATATATATTTCAATATATATTGGATAGTTTATGTAGGTAAGTAAATGTGTTTAACGTTAGTCACGTTGAAAGCTACTTAAATCAAGTACAATCATGACCCCGATGTTATAGCATTAATATATGCTTGTACACCATATCCTTCACTAATAAATTGAGTAGAGCTTGGAAAAAAGGTAAATTTGGTTTGACATCGGATAAAGAATCAGAACGCTTTTATTAAAACACTACTACATTGAAAATAAATGCACAGTATGAGAGTTGTTTATATTTACATCTAGCAGTCACATACACACACCCTCACACACACACACACACACACATATATATATATACATATATATATATATATATATTCCTTTATCAAAGTGATAAAATATTGTCGGCACAGATGTTAACAAAGTAGTGACAGAAGAGATTTTTTCACTCTGAACAATCAAAACCTTTCCTGTTTTCTTAAACATCTACAAATATAATAAATATATTTAAACCATCAGATGAATATCCGGAATATATCGGTTTCTGCATTATAAATTTTGGTAGCAGCTGTGAGCCAGGTGGAATTTGATTTTAATTCTAGAAGTATATGTACCTGTGTTTATTTCATGGTTTCACTGTGAATATATGTATATCACATATTTTTCAAGAAAGACGGACAAGTGAGGTACTGATATCCTGCCTTAAATGCAGCATATTTTTCAGTCATATGTGCAAACCAAATCAGGTACGATGCATACCAAATAGGAATAACTCCTTGAAGGTGTTGAGATGTTAAGTGGCCCCTGATGTAACTCTGAAAACCGATTGGCACACGTCCGCATTGTCGAGACTAGTAAAACAACATACCTTAGTTTAAACTTGTGCTACTGCAACATTGCAGTCAATAAGTCATGAACTACGGATCTATGATTATAGTATTAGTGCGTCTAATTGATTACATTATTTTACACTTTGAAATCCGATTTCATATGATTATTCCTATCGGATGTTGGATAAAAGTCCAGTTTCTAAAATTAACTAACGTTACCGAAGCTGAGGTCGTTATCCATGCTCGTTTGAGCAGCATGTAAATAGATGTCCGCCATGTTTGAACAGTCCTTTTCACGCCAAAGGTCATGACACACCTGTACAAGTTTATAGATATGTTCGTCAGTGTCACGTGATAAAACTTCGTTGATGACGTCCGTCCAATCAGAGGCTGTGACGTCACTTTGTGGGACCTTCGGCTTATTCGTTAGTGCAGGACATTCCTGTGAGACGTACACCGCTAACAAAGCACATGTAAATGTTCTCAATGCATCAACGGCATCTGCAGGTTTTAATACAGGGATGATCTGACGTAATGACCAAGCAGCTGTGACGCCATGAAGAAGAAAGAAGTTGTTTTTCATGTCAGATAATGCATAAACAGCAATGGATTGGTTAAGTAACCAATCAGCGACTGCCACGACCAGGTCAGCTTCATCCTTAAAACTCTCCATTACTGGTACTTTGATTTTGTACGCATACTTCAGTAGATTGTCACCAACACTCATGAGAGCAGCCACTTTGTATTGAAATCCTCCAGATGCCCAATCACTTTTTGACAGCTTCACGGCTTCTTCTTTCATAAATATTCTTAATTGTTCGTCCTTAGCCAATTCCTCAAGTATGACCAAAATGTCTGTATCTCCTTTTCCAAAATGGCTAATGTCATTGTCTGAGTTTTTCTCGTCAAATATTAATGGTTTGCAGGAGTGATGAAGATATGCTAGACCTTCGGTGACGGTTGTTGGACAACGTGCGCTGTAGCCATACCCCGTGTGTATTAATCCATGCGCCGCTGAGCACACTAACCCTCGACTCAAATTAGGAAACTCGGCTCTCAAAATTTCCTCCAAAGAGCCATATTCTTTGAGTTTCATGATATACCGATTTCGTAATTTGTAGAACAATTTTCTTTGTCCAAGGAGTTTGTGAAGTTCGTCATCCGTTGCGGGGTCTGCGTCAGTACTTTCGTCGTTATGACGTGGGTGATTTGGCGGTTCAAGATTTACTTTATTCTTATAGTCGTCAACGAACCTTTTCACTCGGTTTTGGTCACCCCCTAGCCTCTCTATGGCGATGATGCCATGCGCAATGTGGTTGCTGAAAAATGTCCTGTATTCTATGTAGTGATTCTGTGTTGATTGTTCCTCCAGGATCTCCTTCAACCAGGAACTCCCGAGAGATGTGACAGTAGACATGGTGAATCTACAAAGGCAGTTTATACATGAATATCTTTAAGATTTTGTATACACAAAGCAGGCAAATATCACTCAAAAATCATTCACAAGCCTATACTATTATATCATTAAAAAACTGATTTTTGACACTATGATTCATCGAATAGCCACTATTATCCTTATTTCAAAAACACATTGCCTTAGGTCATCTGAGACAAAATCTCATGGTGGCCGCGAACGCCGGCGTTGTGCGTCCATAAACTTTTAACATTTTCGACTTCTTCACAAAAAAACATGAATGGATTTCATTGAAATTTTGGAAAACCTTACCTGGCCTAAACCACGATAATGAATTATACGGTCCCCATTGAACGGGGCCTGAGGAGTGGGTCCAAAAGAGGTCAAATTTACTAGAATTTCAAAATTTCTCTACTCAACTCCCAGATATGGTAGAAGTAAATACTCTTCATGGATAGAAATGTTTCACCGTGTGTGCTCTACCAAAATTGTGAATTTTATGGCCTCAGTGTCTCGCATTTTCCCCAGTGGGGAGGAGGTAAAGTTTGCTGTAGTTTATATAGCAAAAGTAGATTTTTGAGCATAACTTGTTTAATTTCTTTGGAAATATTTCAAACTTGGGTAGAACTATGAGCAAGGGATGACGGCTTAATGGTATGCCCCTATTGATCCTGTGTGACCCCAAGGGCTGATTGGCGGGGCCATAAGAGGTCATATCGACTAGAATTTCAAATTCTTCTTCTCAACCAGATATGGTAGAAATAAATGCTCTTCATGGACGAAGTGTCTTCCAAAATTGTGAATTTCGTTTTCCCAGGGTCTCACATCTGTTCCTGGAGAAGGGATAAAGTTTACTGTAGTTTATTAAGGGAAAGTAGACTTCTGAGCAAACATTGGACATATTTCAAACTTTGTTAGAATTACATGTATAGGATGGCGGCTTGATTGTATGCGCATATCTATCATATTTGATCCTGGCTAGTCCCCACGGGGTAATGGGCGGGTCAAGAAGGGACACATTGACTCAAATTTGAAAAATCCACATTTCAACATTCAGATATGGTAGAATCAAATGCAGTTCGTTGTTCGGCCCTCGTGCTTTACCTAAATTGTGAATTTCTCGACCCCCGAGCATTACTTTTCACCACAGGAAAGGGTGTGAATTTAAGCGTGGTTTATAGCGATATTGCATTTTTGAGCACAACACTGTTTATTTTTTTATTTTCCAATGGAAATAACTTGGTAAGAATTATCAGTATAGGACAACGGTTATGATGGTATGCATGTATTGACACTGGCTCAGACTCCAAAGGGCTTACAGCATAACACCGAAACCTTACTATCATCAATGTCACGAACTATTTGTAATGACACTTACACTAGAACCTTCATATCAATATTGCTTATCCAAGATGACCGTCAAGGACGCTCGGCCACATGTACTTTAAAAAATTACAATCTTGTAAATATGCATTTGATAAATCATTAAGACGCACTCATAAAAGCAAAAATTAACAAGAAAGACAGCGTTTCCTGGTCGGAACGTATACAAAACATTGGGAAAAGTTTTCAAAGGCTTCTGTGTTCACATAAACACTTATTCTAAAAGCCAAATTGTTGGAAAAACAGAGCTGACAGAAATATGTATGACAGGGACCTGTGTTAATGAAGTTAGGAGTGTATAGTTATAACCTGAGCAGATGAATAGAAGAAAAGCAGCTGGGGGTTATTTTATTGTTTAAAGCGAGATAATACAAGAAGATGTGAAAAACGCATTGTAATTTTTAGAAAATTTAGACCACCGAAGGACACAGCTGTACACTGTTTCAATGCCATCGATCAGCGTGAATAAACATTTGGGATTTCGAGATTCTGTATTCCACAAATATTTAGTTAATCTCAGTTATCACTTATGTTACATCTAATCATCATCTATCTCGTGTATACGAATGTAGTCATTTTCCACAAGAACAAATATCTATTCTCAAAATAACAATACAAACATCAAAACAGAAAAGTAATGAAATACTTCATTATTGAACGCAAACAAGTTTTTGAAATTTCTTGCAGTGGCGTGAGCCGTTTACAGAGGTGTTTTGAGGTACCCACAATTCACCCTGGGAGAGAACAGGTTTGCCAAAGTGAAAACATCAGTTTTGTTGGAAAGGCCAACTTGATAATATACAATGTTTATGACATGCCATCCGGCAATAGTATACTCACAATGGGCAAAAGCATCCTTGTACATCATTTTCAATGCTGAGAGATAAGCAAGGTGAAGCATTTTCACGACAGAGGTATGTCATGGCTTTCGAACAGAACTATAACCTTCCTCACTAACGACTCAAAAGAAAGCCTGAAGATACTAGATTCACTTCCACAAGCTTTTCTGAACACCATTCAGTATTCATTTCAATATGTAACATCTATAATCTATGAAAGCAGGTCTTCATCATGGACAAAGATAGATTTGATGGAGAAAGGGTTGTAATAGCAATGCTTTAATAACTAAGTTTACACACAGGCCTACTTACTAATGGTTTGCACACGGACCAATCCGACAAAAAGTGTCAGGATAAATTAATTCGTGTGAAATATCGAAAGTTTTTCATAAAATATGCATACCTGTTCGCGGAGAGTCCGTCAGTGGTTGTGTGAACCTTTAATAGTGTAGATATATATATATACCCCAGACTTGCTTGACATCTGTCCAAGTCGTTCACGGTTTCAGTTGAAGTTAAAAAGTAATTTCTAGATGAAGTTATAAATTTACACGACAACCCTATCTCAACACACTTTCGGCCGAACTTTGATCCCCACAGCATATGTAGCTTATAAAAGAGAGAGAAAATTTATCTTAATTCTGTCGATGCTTAGAAAGAAATGTTTAACTATTAGTGGCACCAAGTTTGACCGGAAGTATTCGTCAGTTTTTTGACAGCAACTAGCATAAAAACGCTTACAAATGGAAGTATGCTAACATTCTGACGTTTCTCTGTGGTCAAGACACACTGTATACAGCCCATAGAGTGGCCATTATTGGTGGACCCTTATATATCCAGACGATACAACAGGTACGGCTATTGATCTTTTGACCTATTTATTCATATGAAAACACATACATTAATTACACACAGCTACAGACGGCTCCAGTCCTCTGAGGAGGATGCAGGTCGCCCCCTCACATCGCCAGAACACTGACGTTCGTCGGTGAGACGTTTCCCGGCAACGGGAGGAGATGCGAAGGCGGAAAACCTGTTAACTAACCAACCATTTAAAAGTGGGACAAACAAGTCGACCATTATTTCCTCCATATTTGTATACTTCTGAAGGCGTTGATTGCGGTTTTAAACACAATTTAACTTTCATTCGGTTTAAGGTAACTCTTACAGGGGTGTGTATAGTTGTATACACATGGTATAAACGAAGAGAAAGAATTTGATCTGATTTGATTTGATCGGAAGATACACATACCAGCCCATCTTTTAATACGGAAGTGAACGTCTAAACTTACTGCTTAAAATAATGGGCTTGAGTAAGTCTAAATCACCCAAGGTTACTGATATCATTACATATGGTCTTATATACACATATATATACTTACTGACGATTGTCTTTGAAATTCGAACTGCACACCAATTTAGTCGTCTGCAGCCTGGAAACGTAAATACGAGTTGTGCGTCGTAAGCAGGACAGTCGACGTACAAAGGCGTATACTGCTAACATTGGGTAAATATGACACGCAGGGGATCTAGCACGGGGTATTTCCTATTTTTATCGTAGATACGAGTTACTTCCCCTTTTACTGTGCTTGCATTTTCGTCTCCTGTAATCATGATCAAAATTCTTTGTTGTCGAGGTTAATGGGGAAAACAAATACTCTCGTTGCTGAGGAGGTGGAAATTTCTATGTAAATATTTCATTGTTCGCGTTAATTAAAGGCGGGTTATAAATATGTATCTTATATAAAACTCTCTCGGTATGTTTTGTGTATTCCGTTTTATTTTATCCGGGACCCTATTGGTTTCCTTTTTCTGTTTTGTCGGCACTGATCTCTCGCTTTATATTTCTGTGCAGTTTTTTTCTGTGTGGATGCCTTTTCGTATTATATATGTGCAGTACTCTCTCAAACGAATTTTTTGCTTTTCAGACAGGTTGTGAGTGTAAGATATAACATTTATTCTTCCAACCCTTTTTTCAGGAAAGTACACATGACTTTCTTTTTTGTATCCACAACCTATTGTGTTTACATGTTGCACTTGATTCGATCCTCAAGATTATCAAGATTTTTGTCGTCAATTAACATGCGAACTCGTAACAATGGGTCTCAAAAGATGCAGGTTGATGAAAATTATAGAGAAGATTTTTGGTCGTCAAAGTGATATCATTGTGAAAAGTTCCTTTTCTTGGTGCTATATGAAGCTGGACGTGTAATGCGCGTTAGTTTGCATGCTGGTTCCATTGTTGTATACATTGTTCTTATTTGTGAACGTGACATTACTTACTTGTATTGACGAAGGTGTACATAGCGGATATCGTTGAAGAAGCAGAGGACGTTTATTCTTCCAGGACACATGGCCTTTTCCCCCTTGTGCTTTTCAAGTCTTTGTGTAAATCTTTTTTTTTTTTTTTTTTGTTCGTATTTTGTCCTAGTTTTATTGAAATTAAGTTTGGATCATGATTATGTTGACATGTTGGTATTTTCTTGTTGTTGTTGTTGTTGATTGTTTTACTTACTTTGTTTCCATCAAATACATAACAGAACCTCCTAATGTTTCTGGTCTCTTTTCATGAAATGTCCTCGTGCACTCATTACTTTGTTGCTTTTGTTATCATTAACATGCATACTTTAATGTAGATTTACGTTGTCAAACTTTAATGAAGCCATGGCTTGATTCTACGTTGGTATTCATTAAGTCAAACATGCAACGAATCATCAACTTTTCAATTCTTGCAGTAATCACATCTCAAAAATGTATACTGACCCATCTCTGTATCAGAAAAGACGAAATAGAATCAGCCACTCATGCCATTTATTATCAGCTAGAGCCCATTGGCCTCAACGTTCCTCTGGCTAAAGCTATAGATATATGTGTGTGTGATGTTATAGCGGCAGTGATTGGAATACTTGTTAAACTGTGTGGTATTTTTGTAGTTGCTCTTCGTTTTATTTTCTCAACATTAACGCAAAATTTCAGCTACATACACTTCGTCCGTTTCTTTTACTTAATTTCCCCACTAATTTTTAGAAGTTTAAAACGTTTTCACGATGGCTGCCATAGTGGCCATATTGGATTTCGTAACAACCCAAAGAATAACAACTCTTAGTTATCTTGACTCTCCTTGGATGATTTCAGACGACTCTCAGCTGAATCCCATCGATGGAACTTGAGACGAAATTTTAAATCGAATTGATGTATGAAATCATGATTACACAACCTCTAAGAAAATGGCCGCCATGGCTATCATATTGAGGTAAAGTATTCATAAATCATAAATATTTCTTATATATGTCCATCATATTTAAATAAAAAAGACAAAGAAAAGCTCTGAATTTTATTACCAAAAATCTATTGAACACATTTAAACCGTCAATGCCTTAACATTGCACTAGAATCAAGCTAGTTTCTATTATGTCAAAGAACAGAACAGTCATTAGATATATGTTTAAAATTATTGACACTCAACAAATGCGTAACCATTGTTAAATTTTAAAACAATTAAAACTTTTCTTAAGATATTCGCTAAATAACTCGGAAAAAGTATATAATACTTATCAGTAACCAAATGACGGTTGAATTTTAACATTTACATACAATAACAAATTCATAGCTATTCGATTTCCGAAAGACTCAATATATATAACGCAAAGCAAGTAAGATAATGATTATCATAATATTTGATATTTACAAAAAATCGCTTCAAATTCTGAATAACAGTTTCTACAATACAACGACAATAATGATAATACTGTGTTCACGAGATCACTGCCATTAGATTCATAGATATTACCAAAGTATTTATCGGTATTTAAAATTGTAAAAAGCAAACAAGATGTCCTTTATTTTCAGTCCCCAACATAACTTGCTGCACATCGCCTTACCTGGATAAGATAAACTAAACATTGTCAAGGTAAATAAACTCTATATCGTTAAATCAAATCAATTAAAAACCATTTATCATCCATAACAACTTCCAAATAGACTTATTTACACTTGCTATTAAATTCAGTAGCGGAATTCATTTCCAGCTTTCAGTTTATTTCTTCATTTGAACCCTGATGAACACGTGATAACAGAAGATACTTCTAGTCACTGATGTGTAGAACATGTCAAACAAGATCAACTGCTGTTCATGATATTGGATGTATGATTTGTAAACTTTGTTTAAAGCTATTTTTATCACAGTTCTGCACAACAAGCGGCACATCAATGACATTGATTAAAACAATTAAACATTCGTGACAACAAGTGGAAATGAGGTTCTAAACAGAAATATTTGATCCAATGATATATATTTTCATATATATATTTTATGGAAAATACCATCAATATTCAAAAGTAACATTTCTTCCTTTAGATAACGATTCACGTATAACCACAATCGACAAACAACGACATCCAATGATAAAAGACGTTATGGTTTATTTTGAATGTCTTTGCCTTATATTTCCAGAACAATTGAGTCCTGGTTGTTAAATTGAGTCATGGTTGTTAAATTGGATCACGTCATGATCATATTGTTTCATTTGACAATGAACTGAAAAAAAATAAAAACTATTTATCCTTCCGAAAAATGTGACAGAAAATGCTGAGCGATTTATTATTTTAATGTACTCATTTCCCCCTTAATCCATTCTCCTTGTCAGCTTATTATCTCACATTCTAAATTGAAGAAAAATAAATAATGCCATATTTAACAGTTTCCAACACAATACTCATCAAAATTCATTCACTAGTTGTTTAAAATTACATGCAGCAAAAAATCCCCACTCTTTTGGCATTGCAAAGTTATTTCGGTCTTTTTAAGCCTGACAAAAAAAAATCACCCATATCATTGAAATGCCATATTGTATAAAAATGATCCAACGCACGTGACACCGGCCAATACGGTAAAATTCCTAAAACAAAATAATCAGAATAACGAGAGGCTATTCTAGCAAAGGAACAGTTTGCACTAATGAAAAAGAACGTGCACACACAAGAAATCTAGTTTACTTTCTATACCACAATACTATGAGTTATTTCCAACCGTAAATACAATTATAGATTTGGGTTTTCTTCCTGACGAATTATTATGTCATTATTTCACAATCTGAACTTAAAAGGATATATAAAGATGTTATTTGTCATCTATACGAAATTCAATTTGCCGTTGGTTTCTTTATGATTATAGATTGTACAAAAGACACACAAATGAATAGCACATTTTGATATAGATTTAGGGTTAGATACAGTGGAGCCAAACAAGGAATTATAATGAAAGTTATTTACTACTTGTTTGAAGTGCAGAGCTGCAGCTTTCATAGTTGTTTAAAGCAACACCTATTTGATTATATTTTATATTACAATGCCATAAAAGGCAATGATGCTATGAATATTTTAGAGATATCGCAAATAAAAATACCACTCTGTTTTTTCACTATTACTCAACTGTTTGTACCAAGCAATATTTTGTTCTTTTATTTTCAAATACATCTATTGTCATTTACTGAAATTAATATCAATGTTAGTGGAGCAGTTTCACCTGATAATTAAAGGAATGTCTCTAAACCATGTAAAATTATTTTTAAAATATGATTAAAATTATGTACTTGACGTTCTTCTGAAAGTATCAGAAACATATAAATTCAGAAACTTATTGAAATATTGGGCCAAGTGTATCTCTTTTTGACATTTTTCCCGATTACTCTAGCTTTTCGACTCGGTCGCCTCAGACGTATCAAAATTTAGGCCAATAGCATCAGTGACGAGCTCTAGAGGGTACAGACTAATAAAATATTTCGCTCCGTTATATCTGATTCTAATTTGTGTTGAAAGATGCAATTCACTTGCGTGATTTTTGAAACAACTCCCGCACCAACATAAATTCATTTACATAAAAGCACCACCTAAACACGGAATGCGTTTCGTTGTTGGATTAACTAACATATGTCAGCGTGATACAAAATATGTATCTAGTATAAGTTGATCCGTTTGATATTTTCAAAATAACATATTGTAAAGCAAACGTTCAACACTATTCTTGTAACAACAATAGATTCTAATACACATACAAGCAAAAACAGCTTTAAAACAATGAAAATGCCGACATGATAACATAATCTTCCTTCAAATACAAGTTCGATGAAACTAAGTCAAAATAACAACTAAAGAAATCTTTGAACAGAGTCTCCCGAAAACGTACAAGGGGAATAAAGTGCTCCGGAAGGGTAAGCGTCTCCTGAAATAATATCACGTTTCCAAACAAACCAGACAAACAGCAAGTGATACGACTCTGACACTCTCACATGTACATCTATCACAATCATCCAGTGTACCTATAATGCTTTCTTATAAAAGTCCTGTCATTCATGCTTATTCAGACTTAAACAGCAGTTACGCTCTCATAACGCCTGCACTCGAAGCCATATTCCACTTTCTGCACGTGCATAACCGCCCTTGTCCAGTTTCAGAGGTACCTAAAATAAAATCGATTTTCAGTTCAACTATGTGATATTTAAGAAACGTGTTCAGATGCGATAATTTATATATGTTATCTCTCAAAAATAAGTAATGAATTTGGCTTCAAGAAGTTTCTCATTCTGACACCGTGTTTATGTTATCATTAAACGATTAAAAATGATGAAACACTTGAGAAATATTACATACGATACATAAATCCAACGGCAATGACAGGATGAGGAAATTTCAGTTTTAATACTAGAAGCATTGCTATGTTATCAGAATTTATTATTCCAGTGTAAAATAACTTAATCTACTTAAGGAGATTGGACACCTAACATTATAACAAACAGTAGATATAATGGAAAACAGTGACAAGTGGAATGCATATTTACAATTCCTCTTTTGTATTTTGTATAAGAATATTATGCCATTTGCGTTAGTAGGTGGTCGAATGGCGTATGAGACTTGGCCGTCTGGGGTTCGGTTTCTGCAACGGACTTGAAAAGGTGAGGGGTCACCTGCTCGACCACGTGGGTTTCCTCGGTACTCCAGTTTCCCCCCATAATAAGACCCCTCACGCTCTTACAAGCGTGCCAATAAGAGCGACTTATGTAATTTGAAATAACTTGTTTCGCACTTGTAAAATAAATCTATATTATATTTATTCTGTTTTGACGTTCTTTACAAGTTTTAAAAATTCGTCTACTACTATTATTGTATCAAGCGCTGTAAACTGATTTAACATGAAGGCTGACGAGATTTTCGCTACATGATATGTTCGAATTCATTCTGTATTGATGTGATACCTGGTTCATATAGTAATGTAGGTATATGTTGTATACTTCATTGCTGAAGTATTTATATTTCTCTATTTTAACACCTTTTTGTGAAAGGAGACAGACGACTCAACATAACACTTTCGTTTCTATGACAAGGACAGACGACACAATTATGTGGCTTTGAATTCATTGAAGTTTTAAGAAAACCACATTAACACTCTAAGTTGAAGATGAAATATTTTTAGAAGAATTCCAGGTTAGTAATATTTTGTATAAACGTAAAATTTCCATCTCACAACATACTAACATAGGCAGATCATTACTCTCTTAAACAATTTTAGTTTCTAACTTTGTCAGGTTATAGTTTAAAACACGAGTTGTCTTCCTTTTATTGTTTCTTATTTGAATGCTGATGATACTCACCACTGTTTCAGGTGCTGTCTGTAGCCGGAAATGCTTCAGGAGATGAACTATAGCCAATTTTATTACAAAAACAGCCAACTTGGAAGCAAAACAATGTCTGGCTCCAGCTCCAAATGGGATATATGAGTATGCAGGTCTACTACCTACTTGTTCTGGAGAAAATCTGTAATAAGATTCAAAGTGAGAGAGAATTTCTTTAACCTGTAACTTAACACTGGATAATATTATATAGTAGTATCCCACTAAACAGGTTATCAACGTTCAACAATAAGGGTAAGCTTAATTTATGTCATATATTCCTATTGAAAAAAAATCTTCCTCTAGTAAGTAGGCTTTTATTTCACATAGCCATTATGCCTGACCAACAACAACACATTGGTGATCCTCGAGAAGTGCTAAACTAAGGTAGATGATAATACTTCACCTCTGTTAAAAATCGGATGATACATGAAATGCTGATAAGATTATTATTATGAGTATATCAAGCGTAGATTCGATCGCCTGTTAACACGGTTTCCTGTTGGGTCCGTCACCTGATGATTTATTCGATCATGTACTCATGGTTGTGACATTATTACCATTAAGATGTCATAATTCCACAATGACAAATTAGCTATTTCTTTTTTATTCCTTGCACAAAAGTGATATTAATGCTTGTATCCACAACATTTACAAACTGCTGAAATATTTTTAAAAAATTATTTCAATAATACAGTATTTTCTAGCTTTGATTTTCACAGAAATACAAATACATTCAGGGTTGGTACTTTTCAATTGTAAACCTACAGAATATTGATACTCATAATCAGACATGACAATAATAACCCCATATTACCTATCTGGATCAAACTTGTGTGGGTCTGTCCAAACGGTGGGATCTCTGTGGAGAGCGAAAATAGGAACGGACACGTCCATATCTTTAGGTATATGTTGACCACACACTGTTACGTCAGCGGACGCACGTCTATTGAATCTATAACAAAATAGAAAAGTCTTGACCTAATGTTTCCACATATAAAGTATTCTTGTTTGGTACATGAACAGACATTTGCAATTTATCTTTTTTTTTCTCAGTGATTTTAATTTTTCACGATTGTTCCAAAACGCTGATACAAAGGAGATGTTTTTTCCTACTTGAGTCATGAGTCATGCTTTCTTTATGAATTTTGTCGTGAAGGAATCTCCTTTTCATTGTTTCATTCCAACCGGGAAGTTTTCGTTCTATCCTTCATTGAACAGGGAAGACAAAACATAAAAATATATACTGTAAAGGTTGTTATTTTCGAAGGCTATTATAAGTTTTATTTAAATTTTCCTCTACACTTTACACGCATGTATTTTTTTGTTATTTCAAATTACATGAACCTACCTGAGCATGGGTGGAAACAACCGGAGCGTCTCGCAAATAACTTTATCCAGGTAAGGTAATTCCATAATACTATCATAACACATATCCACCTGTAAGATAAAAATATCCTACCTTTTGGCATTAAACTTTAAATATTGCAGCAGATGAGATTCCTATCCATTTCTATTTTTTATCACTATATCTCTTTAATGCATGGCTTCAGAAACTTCATTAACTCTCTTTTATAAATGTTAGTGATGATATTAAAGTGTATATATTAGCTATTTTAAAGGTGATAGAACAAGGGCAAGAATTTGTGACATGGCTGCTATGAGAGTACTGTTTGTAGAATTACACAAGCTTTATAGTAACATAACACATTTCAATAAATATTCATACACAATTATCAGACGTTCACTGACTCCACTGTTATATAACCTATTGTTTCTGGTGTATCAGACGTTCACTGATTCCACTGTTATATAACCTACTGTTTCTAGTGTATCAGACGTTCACGGACTCCACTGTTCAGACGTTCATTGACTCCACTGTTATATAACCTGCTGTTTCTAGACGTTCACCGACTCCACTGTTATATAACCTACTGTTTCTGGTGTATCAGACTGTTATATCACTGACTCACTGTTATATAACCTACTGTTTCTGGTGTATCAGACGTTCACTGACTCCACTGTTATATAACCTACTGTTTCTGGTGTATCAGACGTTCACTGACTCCACTGTTATATAACCTACTGTTTCTAGTGTATCAGACGTTCACTGACTCCACTGTTATATAACCTACTGTTTCTGGTGTATCAGACGTTCACTGACTCCACTGTTATATAACCTACTGTTTCTAGTGTATCAGACGTTCACTGACTCCACTGTAATATAACTTACTGTTTCTAGTGTATCAGACGTTCATTGACTCCACTGTTATATAACCTACTGTTTCTGGTGTATCAGACGTTCACTGACTCCACTGTTATATAACCTACTGTTTCTGGTGTATCAGACGTTCATTGACTCCACTGTTATATAACCTACTGTTTCTAGTGTATCAGACATTCACTAACTCCACTGTTATATAACCTACTGGTTCTAGTGTATCAGACGTTCACTGACTCCACTGTTATGTTATATAACCTACTGTTTCTAGTGTATCAGACGTTCACTGACTCCACTGTTATATAACCTACTGTTTCTGGTGTATCAGACGTTCACTGTCTCCACTGTTATATAACCTACTGTTTCTGGTGTATCAGACGTTCACTGACTCCACTGTTATATAACCTACTGTTTCTGGTGTATCAGACGTTCATTGACTCCACTGTTATATAACCTACTGTTTCTGGTGTATCAGACATTCACTGTCTCCACTGTTATACAACTTAATGTTTCTAGACGTTCACTGACTCCACTGTTATATAACCTACTGTTTCTGGTGTATCAGACGTTCACTGACTCCACTGTTATATAACCTACTGTTTCTGGTGTATCAGACGTTCACTGACTCCACTGTTATATAACCTACTGTTTCTGGTGTATCAGACGTTCACTGACTCCACTGTTATATAACCTACTGTTTCTGGTGTATCAGACGTTCACTGACTCCACTGTTATATAACCTACTGTTTCTGGTGTATCAGACATTCACTGTCTCCACTGTTATATAACCTACTGTTTCTAGTGTATCAGACGTTCACTGACTCCACTGTTATATAACCTACTGTTTCTAGTGTATCAGACGTTCACTGACTCCACTGTTATATAACCTACTGTTTCTGGTGTATCAGACGTTCACTGACTCCACTGTTATATAACCTACTGTTTCTGGTGTATCAGACGTTCACTGACTCCACTGTTATATAACCTACTGTTTCTAGTGTATCAGACGTTCACTGACTCCACTGTTATATAACTTACTGTATCAGACGTTCACTGACTCCACTGTTATATAACCTACTGTTTCTGGTGTATCAGACGTTCATTGACTCCACTGTTATATAACCTACTGTTTCTGGTGTATCAGACATTCACTGTCTCCACTGTTATATAACCTACTGTTTCTAGTGTATCAGACGTTCATTGACTCCACTGTTATATAACCTACTGTTTCTGGTGTATCAGACGTTCACTGACTCCACTGTTATATAACCTACTGTTTCTGGTGTATCAGACGTTCACTGACTCCACTGTTATATAACTTACTGTATCAGACGTTCACTGACTCCACTGTTATATAACCTACTGTTTCTAGTGTATCAGACGTTCACTGACTCCACTGTTATATAACCTACTGTTTCTGGTGTATCAGACGTTCACTGACTCCACTGTAATATAACTTACTGTTTCTAGTGTATCAGACGTTCACTAACTTTAGTAAGACAACCTACCGTTTTAATATTTTTGTTTATCTCGTGAATCAGACGTTCCTGACAGTCGATGTTAGTCGCCAAATTGTAAGCCACGAAAGATAGAGCATTCGCTGTAGTGTCGTATCCAGCCATGATAAAGAAAATGATGTTAGCTGTGATTTCCTCTTCTGTAAGACCTTTGCAACAGAATGGTTTTTTTTAAATGGCCAAATTATGTATGTGTTACAATCTCTATACGATACTTGAGTCAAGATTTGAGCTAAATGTTTGGATATATACATATCAATAATACAAAAAACAATAATGTAAATGATATATAAGAAATGCGATTGTTTCAAGTTATGAAATGGCGAATAATATCGAGATATGACAACATAGTCAACAACATGGAATACGGATATTAGCTTATTTTCCATTTATTTCGTCGGTACTCTTAATCAACGATTAATAATGTTCACGATTTGTATCTACAAGTATAAGCTTATCTACATACACATTGATCCACGAAAACAAATCCATGAAATCCAGCTAGACGAAAATACGTTTAAAATGTTTGAGTATTTATCAATGTATAGCCAAATTGGTGAAGCAGGACTGTTATGCTCATAATCATAGCGGTCCAGCGCCGCCACAAATATTTCATCTGATTATCGATAAATAAACACCTTTAAGGGGAAGTTTAGAGCTAAATACCGTAAGATGAAATTTATACATTTGAAAGTTTAATCTAGGGCAGTCGTTAATCTGTAAAAATATTAATGACTAAATTAACATTTGTCTTACTTCTTTCTTCCTTATCGGCTAAATTATTGTTGTCGTTCTCACTTCTTTCTGTCATAAACTTTAAAAGATTTGCCTGAATCTGAAAATGAGAGATAAACAGATATGTGAGAAAGAAACAATAGTTTTATTTTATTTCAGATATATTCCTCGTTCCATAATTGTTTCTTATCTTGTATAGATTTTTCAATTAATGCTTTCTACTTATAAATAACATTATAATATAATACTGACTTTTGACGGTTAGAAAACGTTAGGCAAGACGGAGACGGAAATCCTGTACCAAACCAACCAATCAACCATTTACTTACTGACGAATCTGATTGGTTCATTCTTATTGTTGACACTTACCGGCGATTCCGATTGGTGCATTCTCTCTCTGGTGATTTGCATGAAAAAATCGACGATGTTCGTACAACATGGTGATACTTTAAAATACTTTAGAACCTTTCTCATCGGTGGACACAATGCTGTTGGTATTTAAGAAAAACAGAAGTATAAGGATATCTAGCATAACGTTGTAAGTAGAGCTGTTTGAGCTTATGTCGATCAGTTATTGCATTAACTTCCATTTTAATTGCATTTTTTTTTTTATAAAAATGTGAATAAACTTCATTTAAACTCATCAAAAATCTAGGACGAATTCCACATCCTATATAAATTTAAGATAAATGAACGAGAATGTTTGTTAAATAAGTCAAAATCGCACATCCCCGCATGATTGTCATAAATACATTGTAAAACTAAAACATAATAAATGAATAAGCAGGTAGTCTTACAGATAATTTGGTTATCACATGATTAAAGTGTATCTATTCTATAATTTTCTATTACACATAACATTAGCACGCCGTCAGTCTCTCCTATCACACGACAGGAATGCAGAGTACATAACAAGCCAATATATTGGATCCTATCAACAAGAATGCTTTTCAATTTGAAAGGAGGTTGTTTGATGCGTGACGCTTTCGTGTCGTCAGATCACTTGAGGTAAAGAACACAACTTTATTTTTTGTTTCACTGATTAATGTTTAAGGATATTCATGAAAATTGTATGTACTACTTCCCCAAAGAATGTCATTCCTAGCTAGCATTCTCGTTACATTACTACAATGATATAAAGTTTTGTTCAATGCAATTAAAAGTTACTGGATATCGGTATATTTCGCTTCTGGTTATTTTCGCCTTTCTTCCTACACGAATTCACCTATATTCATTTCGTCCTCTGAGTATCATATGAAAAGTAACAAATATTCACCCCAATTTTGAATTCGCTTTCCCTGTTCATACACGAAAACGGCGAAAATTAATCGAGGGCAAAACATCCCTGATATACAGTAACACGTTGTGATAAGGGAATATATACCATAAGTAATTTACTGATATTGAATACACACCGCAGATCCCACCAAGCTTAATTGAACCTTCCGTTCCTGCTTTCCATGCACTCTGAGCTTGCTTTATTAACATATTTTCGGGATCTTTTGCCGAGTTGACCGTCTGACCAAAAATACACTTCATCAATATGTCCATAGATAAGTGACTGCAATGGCTGAAATTGAACATACTCACTGAAATACTGCATTTTTCATAGTGGTTAAAAGTAAATATAAATTGATGTTAAAAAGGAAAACCCAAACAAAACTGACCATGAGACAAAACATTTTATCCTCTTGCTGTAACCATTTTTAAAATAAAATTTCCTTTCAGATCCAATACTTTATGAGAACAGTGATTAAAGTTTATAGAAAAGAAATTATCAAACATTTGCAAGAAAAACTTGGAATATTGTTAAGACTTCACAGAGCTGAACAGAAATTCTGTTAGGTGACCGGAAGTTATGAAATTGTTGGGATTTTACTGTGAAGAAGACTGAGTAGGAAAAATATGATTGAAAGCAATTGTTGTAGTATATCATTGGCATGGTTTATCTACATTGGTTGTCAGGAGTTTTACCGATTAAGGTATCTGTAAACTAATTGATAATAATCCAAAAGTATAAACAAGCTGCTTTTTCACTACTAACTTTTTTGCTGAAGATTTAATTAATTCTTTATTACATAACAATAAAATTGGAATCGTATTTCCATAACAATATCTCGGAAACTACATACGTGGTGAAGTCGAAACTCTTCCCTTTTTCAGAAGAGACCTTTATATTTTCAACCATAGTATCCAAACAGTCAGTCAACGTGGGACATATCTGTCAAAATAAGATGTTGTTTAAACAGTTAAATAGTTGAAACAAGACCCATTCAGTTACCTGGTAAGCTTTCAAAATTAATATATACTTACCTTTTATGAAGTTTTACTGTCGTCAAAGAGATCTCATTAATTTGCCTATAGGTTCCTGTAGGATCTGTGTTGTATACCTTATTCTCCTTTGAAAGCATGACATTACATACATGGATTGACTAAGATTTGCATTACGGGTGTTATCGATGAAGCAGAGACGCTTACTTTTCCGGAACGCATGATCTTATTCTCCTTATGCTATTACAGGAGTTTTTGTTCATATTTTGCCTGCTCACATCATGACATATTGATGTTGTTTTGATAAACGATCTTTTCTTTTGCGTCATTAAACACGGTAGATATATGTTGGGGCTGTTTAGTGAAAATGAAACATAACTTTACGATGTCACATTGAAAGTAAACATGATGTTACTGAATATGTTTTTTAAAAAAGCAAGAAAACACCAACATATAAACACACCCATAGTTTATTATGATTATCAAACAATAAAACACAGCAAAGATCGTATCGTAGCATACATGATACCTGCTAGAAATACAGTCTGATATATAATTACGATCAATTGTGACGTCAAAGAAATGTGTTTCAATTTTGTTGCCAGAGTTTCATCCCTTTCCTTCGGTAAAATCGATAATTCAAAGAGATGTCATCATGTATTTTATTATTTGTAAACACAGAAAAAACAATGCAGACAATATCAATAATCCATTACTGCATTACTTACTTACTCCATTATTAACAATACCCATCGTAACCATTTGGCCTTCAAAATTACCGATGATGAAAACGGTATGTGGATTTTGTCTTTCTTGTTTAAAATAATGTAATTTCATGGGGTTCGATTTTCGAGGTTTTTCAAAAAATCCATTTCGGTGGTTTCATGAAAAGATATCGCTGAATATATCTACCTATTCTTATTTCAACGCTGTGTGAAAAAATGTATTAAGACCGCCTAAGGAAAATGAAAAAAAAAACAAAAAAAAAAAAAAAAAACAAAAAACAAAAAAACACAAAAATTACAATTTTCCTGTTAACCACAGACAAAACTATATGGAATATTAAAACAAGATTGCCTTTGCTTAATAAAATGTCCATTTTACTGCTGTTCACTTACAGCCATCCTCTTTAGTAATTACTCTAACTATGCCCTACTATGAAAATTTGTTGTCAGTATTAAAATGAAAGGTGAACAAAACACGTCATCATGGGAATGCTTTGTGTTTATACAAAGCGACAGGAAGAATACCTGGATTGTACTGCTTACCTGTTCTAGTCTATCCTTAGTAAACACGGGAACCAGTTTGTTCTTGAGAAATTTCCAGTGCGTGTCATCCGCAAGGGCAACAGCACATCCGAGAACCCCACACATATCAAAAGCAGACTGCAGAGACAAAAGATTGATTAAATGATACCCTTATTTATGAAAACTTTCCTGTTTAGATAATACTACTGATTACAAAATGTTACCCATCAATTTTCCTTTCTGGTAAAATAAATGATGTCTATTTCACACTTTTTACTTCATGCTTTTCTTAGTATTAATTAGACATATATCCATTGATGACATTACGGTTCAATAATCATTTCATTACCATTGTCACTTGTATCTAGGACCATATAACTCACAGCTACTTGTCCAATTAGTCACACTGACAAATGTACGACGATATAACAATATAGTGATACGCGTATCATTCACAGCCAACACAAAGGATAATACCGTTACAGCTGGTGTTTTCGCAGTTTTCAAATTTCCCAATTATGTAATAAAACGGTCGAGTTATACTTAATGAATTATTTTTTCGATCTGGATATTAAAGAACATCATATACACTTGTGTCTCATTACTTCACATAATACATTTTCATGGTCATTTTAATACACTGCGAAAATACCATCCCTGCGAAAATAACATGCCATACGATAAATTTGCGAAGTAGAGCCTGTCAACACACAGAGTAGTCGATGCTAAAAGTGTGTAAACGAAACGTACTGCTCTGTTGATGAAAACATCAGATCTATTGATGCAGATTTCCTTGATCATGTCATGGTCGGCTACTAACATAGCCGGGTTGTGTCCGTGGTAAATTCTGTAAATCAATGGAAATTTGAACTTGTATAAGACAATGTTTACATATACTCTTACAGGATTGGTGTACTTAACTTTTTTCTGAATAGAAGTGATAGAAATTATGGAGATACTCTTAAACAGAAAATAAAAACAAAACTTTTAAGATGATTGACTTGTCCTATACATTTAGTATACTATTATCATTAAAAAGAAACCAATATTATTTAAATAATTAGACATATATCGAAATTGTAAATAAACAAAATAATAAATATCATCTTGATCACAAACGACATATAACGAGAAACCTGTAAAAGTTAAGTTATTAATGTTATTTTGATATACATTTATGTATTTTTTATTGTTCCACATAACTCACCCGATAACTTTTCCATATGTCGAAACTAGCTGCAAATCGGTCCAAGCCAAACCCTAAAAATATTAAATATAAGACATTTAACATTGTTTTATTTGTCGTTTTGGTCAAGTTTTGTTCAAAACGGCAGAAAAAAACTTTTTAGACAAAATGGTGAGCATTTCCTTTCAAAATATTTCTAATAAGGAAACAATTACTTTTCTCGAACGTAGATGCCCTACCAAGAAAAAACGCAACAGTGAACCCCAACCAGGAAGTAACACCAAAAGTTGAAAGAACTAATTTAAGTACTGACGACGGATTGTCGTCTTTAATGACCCCCGTCAAACGACCTCTGTCTTCTCAAAGAATAACGTTACATTTCGTGCTGATGTATCTGGGTCATTTCCATGGATATTTCTTTAAATGGCATGGTGTGTTTTGTTCATTCTTTTTTCAAAATCATTTTAGAGGTCACCTTCAGATAAAAATACAAGATGGCATTTTTTGTACGAACGTCTCCTAAAGTCTAAACATATTTTATCAAAATGATCTGTCGCGAAGAAAATAACCAGCATTCCTGCGTTACATATCGTGTTATGTTTCTTCATTTTCAATTTCACAGCGGTGGCGTCGTATTTCAGGGGAGACCTTGTCCTTTCATACTAGCATTCCACTCTAGCCGCCTTGCTTTGTCAGCTTGATGTATACATCTGGCTTAGGTGTAATTATCCATTTTAGAAGCATAACACATTAAACAGTTAAATCATGTAGTCCTCATAGACGCTGACAAGGATGTTGAAGCATATGCCAATAGAATATCTTCGTGCTATGTGCGGCGACAAAAATGTGATGAATAGTCAGCTTTCATAACCTAATTTTCTTTTATTCAATAACACATATTATGTAGCAAATGTGATCAATCATATCCGACAGAGGGAGATCTGTAAAACTGATAAGCTTGTCATAGGTAAATTGATACTTTGTGACATATATAAATGTAAATACAAAATAATTTATCATTTGTATATAGTCAATTACTTTCAGCATTTTACAGAGAATGAAAGCGGAAATTAAAGAATAAATCAATTTGAAATTTAATATACAATGTCGATCTGCTTCCTTGTTGTTAAAACTAACTACAAGTAAGGACATTTAACACTACACCATAATAATCGCGCTATCATTCACACCACAATTTTCACATTACGAAATAAAAGATAAAAGAGAAGAGTGAGCAGCACCTTTAAATACAGCTATAGTAGAGCCAAATAATGAAGTGAACTGTACACACAGCTGTTTCGTCCTTCTATAACTCGTCAGTGATGCTAAAGACTTAAAGTTTGAAGTGTAATAGGCGACTGAGGAAAATCCAAAGTGTTTGAAATAAAAGCCTAGATAGGGAGGTACACCAGCCCTATTATTTTCATGTATCAGATGATTTAAGAATAATATCAAATACATGTTTATATTCTGAACCATGTCAAAGTTCGAAGGTATTCAAAGGTGGCATGCAGAGGTTACGACAAAGCTCTGTACGAAACATTACCCCCTTTTTAATCATTTGTAACAGAATAGTGAAAATTCCTGTTGAATCGATCCCGGGTCTCCGTCATGATAATCCACGGGTCTACCTATTGAGCCAAAGAAGCATGTTCCATCAATTGAGTGATACAGGCCGTATTTAACAATATTCACGACAGGACTACGGTATCATATTATTATCAAACCTAGGACATATATAAGGATCAACGTTTTATCATTTAAATTTATTTAAAGTATTTTTTCAACGGGATGATGCTGTTGTTAGCAAAGGCTTTGATAATTGTATTAATGCATTAACTTCAACAAGACAGAAAAAGAGTGATTACGATTTTACAAATGTACCAGAAAGAAAAAGTCAGTAAGTTGATATGAAATTGAGGTTGTAGTATGAAATTAAACACTTACGTCTTTCTTATAACAAGGTAAAATACCAAATATAAACTTTGGTTTTGGCCCTGGAATTCCAAGCTTTGAGAACAAATTGTGCTTCCATTTGCTGTACCTGTAACAATATATGAGTAAACCAATTAAAATGTCAACTTCGTACTAAAAGAATTTCAAAAATTATAAAAACTAGAAAAAAATATTTAAAACCATTGGGATTTTTTTATGTCAAATATCAATAAATGTCAGATAATATAGAAATAATCCAAGTTTTAACCAATCTAACGGTGAAATGTGATGCGTAACCCTTTCCTGAAAGCTGCTCGACGTGTAACTGAAACCAGTTGTTTGTTGGTTCACAACCAGTTATTTGATGGCTAACTGAAAAACAGATGTTTTACGGCTACCTGCAACTAAATATGTGAGCCTACACAAACGAGCTCTTTAACCGCTTACAGAAACCAGGCCTCAATTGCTCGAAAGCCAATGTCGAGTAAAAATTTCAAATTACTGCCACTGAAAGAACGAGAACATTAAATGCAAAATATATCCATCTGGTCTGTCTCAACAAAAACTTCTACTGTGAAATGTTAAAGAGTGTTTCTATTTTCCTTTAATTCACGTTTAAAACAAATCACTGAGAACTGGTTATCTCTAACAATTTGACAACTAACTAAAACTAGCTGTTATATTGGTAACTGAATCGATCTTTTTGACGTCTTACTGAAATCAGCTGTTTGACAGCTAACTGAAACCGACTGCTGACGTCTAAATGAACTAGTTAATTGACGCCTTACAAAATATATACACATATATGCGTGTTAATGTTCATCTACACTTCGCTGAAAGGTTGTAAATATCAGTAGAAACAGTAGACTGTGAAACCATTCAAAGAAAAAGTCAGAAAAATGTACTGCAGTGTCAAGGATTGTGTTCTTTAGTCTTCTGTCTGATCTGTTGTATCTGTTACAAGTGTTAAAGAATGTAGTCTTCCCCTCTCGTACCACATTTTACACCTATATTTTCCTGTTTTGTGTCAATGGAATGTTGTTCATATTTATTGTTAAGAATAAAATCCGCCTGAGCTCCTAATAAAAAAAACACAAAGTGAAAACTTAATTCTCTAAGTTACGGAACCCTGTTGTTTGAATGTACATCAATAGTGGAGTTCATCTCGGTCTCTAATAGTGAGATACATTGAAACCGTGAGGTTCATACTTTTCATACCATAACATGACACCTCTTTCAGTCACGGTATTCTGACGGTCGTGTTACCAAAGGTGCGGAAGGCACAATATACAATGAATATTATCAAGTAAGGAGACTTCCACTGACTAAACTGAATGCTGTTGAAACATTATATATGTCCTCTGTATAAAACTTGTGCGGTATCTTCTTTCTATTGTCTCAAAATTCTTCAGGATAATGTTTGTTATTTTGTTTTCCCAGGTCTCAAAGTGGGAACGGTCAATTTTTTTCTATATTTTTCTCTGTTGTGGAATTATTTTTAACGCTTGAATTATCATTAGTATTGAAATAGCGGCATTAATAAGCAACACATATTCGAGCGGTAGTTCGACAACATGGTCAATGGAGGACACTTCCCTATCATCATATATTTGTTTAACATCTTTTATAAGTAAATATCATTTTATTTGAAATCAATGGAAATTAAATATACAGGGGAAAATGTAACACGAAATCAAACAAACTTAAAATTTAAGTATTCCTACTTAACAAACAAATATCGACTGTAAAGAACTTTGTAAATATCAGTTAAATATTAATTAGCCTGTTATCGGTATCTTTTCTAAAGTTACGAAATCGGATATTTGAAAAAAACAGCCTTATAAAGACTTTATCCAACAGCTGCCAGGTAAGGTCACTATATAATTTACGGTAATGACTTGGTCACGTTACCTATTGTAGAATAGGTACTACCTGGGGTAACAAACGTTTTATATCAAGCTGTTATGTATTTACCATGACCCCTTACTATTAACCTTTGATGTAAGAAATGAACGTAAAAACGAACTGTGTGATATTGTATATGAAGTGGCTGTAAAATAAACAATAAAGTCTTTTATCCATTGTTGACTTAAAAACGTAGTATATTTTAGATGGCGGCGATAGCATCTATATAGTTTCCACAGAAAAAAGGCATCCATGAATATTTCATTTCATGGTCTGCCTTCGTAGGGCTATATTTCAGGGTATGGTCATGTTTCCGTCAATACATAAAAAAAACTACAAGTAAAGCACATTCACCGAGACCAGGAACATGCTGGTGCGCGGACTGATAACTTATAGGGAGCGAGTTTAGTCGACATCACATTTGCTTGATGCTAATAAGAGAACGATGAGTCTGGACACTTGTTCAGTTAACGTAATCTAGAAATTTTATTTTTATGGATTGACAAACAATATATGTGTGGCTTATTTGTGTTTTGACAAAATAAATGGAAATTTTACCCCACTTGCTATGTTAGCATATCTTATTTGAATATTCAAGTGGTTGTTAAGAAAATAACTTTCTACCAAAACGGTGTCGACTGTAAGCATGATAAAACTTCTAGTACCAGATTTTGAGAGATTAAGTGTTCGAAAGAGTTGAACTAAATTTTTATGAGTAGAAGCTACGACCTGTGCGATACGCAGATCAACCTTTGTTCGTATACAGATAACTTTTGATTAGTTTCTTATTGACATTCGTACCTCGGTTATCAATTCCATGAGATAGTTTCATTGGATTTGACATTAGAAAGATTAGGCATCAGTTATGTTGAAGACGCTTACTCTTCAGTAACACCTGATATGTTTTCCATTTTTGCAAATGATGTCATCAAAAATATTTTAATTAGTAATTTTCCATTTTCATCGACTTCTAATTTGAATTTCGATTTTGTTTACGCTTAAGTAATTCATTCTCATGCGTTCCTATTTACTTATTTATTCCATTAATCAATCTTTAATGATAATACGAAATAGCATATAGGTCTTATCAACAGATAAGACAAGTAGGGAAGGTAAGGTCATGATGTCGAGAGTCTTTGAGCAATCTATACCTTGTTAAATACAGTATCGAAGCTGGTGCGGTAAGACAAATGTATATGCATCGAATAGGGAAGACATTCTGACGGAAGTGTCATTGTGGCGGTTTTTGGCAATCCCACTAAGGCTAACTGATATATTATTTAGAAATTTCTCCTTGATTTGTCAGATGGCAACTACAGTTTACTAAATTATATTTCTAATGAAGTATTTTTTGTCATAAAGTAATGTGATTGTCTCGTGACTCTGTATAATAAGATAAATTAAAATGTCAGAAGTTGGCGTTCATGTTCATTCACTACTAATGATGCACCAGGAATCCTGTGGCGACAGTTATGCTTATAATTCACTACAAATAAAATGTAATCAAATAAAATGTTAAAACACTACAACCCCCCAAAAAGGATTTTTTTTTAAATTGTAAATCTGAAAATCCTAAGACTACGATGTCTATGGTTACAATGCTTTGTTGATCGTCGTGGGAATTTTGACATCCAAAACAGTTTTATTGTGATTTATACAACGTAATCCTCGCGGACATTTACCTATTCGTAAACCGAAATTCAACATTTAAAATAATCACGATAGTGTTAACGTGATATCAAATCATTACACCTTTCAACGGTAGCTGATTAAAATCTTGGTAAAATACCTTAGTCGGGAAAGCATAGGAGGCACATTCATTACTATAATAACGCAATATGTGAAATTCTCTTTCGCATCAACAACATGCAGTTAACGAAGAAACTACTTTCTGATGACCTCCATGACCATTGACGATATTGATATAATCGTTACTGGCATGTGTGAACGACATTGAACAAATCAGTATTGAATGTCTTTCTCGAATTCGTTTTATCTAACTATTAACTCTATGTGTGTACAGAAGTGCGGCGTTAGATATCAAGCTACGGTTCAATCAATCATCCAGCAGAATACCTCTGTTACAATTATCGTACCATAATACACGGTAATGATACAAAAGTTTTTTTAAAATTTTTCAGATCTAACCTTTCAGTCAGTAAGAATTCCAGTTTCCAATGCTGTCAATGTCTAATTTTTGGCATATTTCTCGGTAGGTGATTGGATGACCCAGAACGTGCGATCAATGCCCAAGGCAATGGCTAAAAATGTTTTTGTTAGAACTTTGTGCATTTGTAACATTTAACTTATTTGTAAATCACTTGTCTAATAATTATGTAATTTTCTGCAAATTTTGCGTTCAAAATACGTCGCGAACGATTACAGTATAGCATGTTAGGACCTGTACCACTGAATTTGTGGAAATAGCGAAAATCAGTTGCCGCGAAAAAAAATCAAGAAAAAGAAAAACATTCTGTAAAAAACTGATTTTTTGCCACTCTGATAAAGCTTGTCAACTTATGGTATATTGGAGATTTATTAATGGCCATGTCACAGATCATTTAACATACGCTATTCAGTAAAAATAAATTGTGTTACGTGTTTTAATTATCACGTGACTTAATAATTGCATTGAGATAAAAATTACACAAAAGTGAAAAACACGTTTCAACAGTAGGGACACACAAATAAATAGCACCTTAAACTGTTAGACACAATAGAAATAGTCTCTTTAAATACAAACTCGGAATTAGATTGAGTATCTAAATAATTAAACTGTTTTTAAAACTCTTCTGTGATGTTAAGGACTTTTAACTGTGAATACCTCGGAAACGATAGCGGAAAATAAAGAAATAAAAGTCATAATGTCATGAATACACGGGCCGAAATAAAAATTAAAAATGTCATGTATACAAACTGGCTGAAGTAAAAGTCATAATGTCATGTATACAAACTGGCTGAAGTAAAAGTCATAATGTCATGTATACAAACTGGCTGAAGTAAAATTAAAAATGTCATGTATACAAACTGGCTGAAGTAAAAGTCATAATGTCATGTATACAAACTGGCTGAAGTAAAATTCATAATGTCATGTATACAAACTGGCTGAAGTAAAATTCATAATGTCATGTATACAAACTGGCTGAAGTAAAATTAAAAATGTCATGTATACAAACTGGCTGAAGTAAAAGTCATAATGTATACAAACTGGCTGAAGTAAAATTCATAATGTCTGAAGTAAAATTAAAAATGTCATGTATACAAACTGGCTGAAGTAAAATTCATAATGTCATGTATACAAACTGGCTGAAGTAAAATTCATAATGTCATGTATACAAACTGGCTGAAGTAAAAGTCATAATGTCATGTATACAAACTGGCTGAAGTAAAAGTCATAATGTCATGTATACAAACTGGCTGAAGTAAAAGTCATAATGTCATGAATACAAACTGGCTGAAGTAAAAGTCATAATGTCATGTATATAAACTGGCTGAAGTAAAAGTCATAATGTCATGAATACGGTAGTCCGTGACTAATATTAAGAAAACTGTTTTCATACTATTTCAATGTTTATCGCACCGACGCTTAATGTACAAGGATAATTAATCTGTATTTGTTTCATACCTTGGTAGTTTAGTAACATCAATATAATGCAGACAGGAGATATCCTGGTTACTGGAAAACAACATGTAAAGGCGAGGGTTCTTTCAGGATATGAGACATACTTTAGTCACGTAACCTTCTACATATACATACGAATACATAAACAATTTTAGCGTCATTATTGTATATATATGCTATGTGTATTATTAACCAGTTGTGAAATTAACACCTGTGTAACCAAGAAGTAATTTACATTGGAGAGCAGTTGACACTAAAATCCGAACTCGTGTAAATCGTTGTTTTATGATGTGAACATCATTTACAAATCAATGTTAATTTATCCTTTTAATGCTAAATGTACTCAAATTTCCAGGTACATTCAGAGTGACAACACTTTATCAGATTGTAGAAACTCAATTGATAAACATTTGTTGTGTGTACTCAATCTGATAAACCTTTTCATAGATTGTGACTGAAATTGACATAATACGAGCAGGTGTTCGCAAAATATACTGCAAAATCGTATACCTTTGTGGTACATTTCTAATTGTTTATCATTTTGTGGACAGATGAATAAGTTTACACACGAAATTCTACAGCAAACTGCATCGTGATATAACAAACGTGCGTGAAGCCAAATTGAGGTAGATACACATTTAACATCAAACAAACAAATTTTATCTTTTTGTTTACAATAAATGTAAGTACCGCGTTCATTGTAGCTACATCGTATGTGACAGTGAATATTTCTAGCGGATGAGATTTTATCTTATTACATGCCTCAATGCAATGCAAATTATCTGGAAAACACTTTTATATATCAGAATATGTTTTTAAAGAAAATTTCCCAACCATGAGATTTGATATTTACATGAACGCAATATACCAACTGACTATGGTACAATATCTCCTCATTGTATCGGGAATCATGTTCTCTTAGCTTACAATTGTAAATGCTATTGTTGTTTTATTGCGTTTGAAGAGTGCATGAGGTTTGAATAAAATCTGATAAAAAGTGATACAATTTAGTAGATAAACATCGTGTGAGCTGAGGAATATCGAGAACATGTCGTGTTCCTTTATCTTTTTTGCGACCCAAGCTGTTCTGGAACTACAAAAATCGCGTTCGTATGAAACAGATTTCCATACAATTTGAAAGAGATAAATATAGACAAGTGATGAAGTAAACTGAAATATAATCGTCCTCTTGTCCTCTTAAATGTACTTTAAAGTTTAGGAGTGAGGGAACTTAAAAAAAAAAAAAAAAAAGCATTGTCTGCCATATGTGTTTTGTGATTAATAATTAATTTCTATTATTTTAAGAAAGGTTTAAAAATTGAAGAACACACAGCTTAAGGCTATACACGATTTACCTGTTTAACAAACCACGGCTATCGACAGGCTTATATAAATATTTTGAAAAAGTAATCACTTTAAATTAAGATTATTCACGGGAAAAAATATGAAAATACAACAAAATTTTTTTACTGTTTTCCTTCATTAAATCTTCAATTCCAGTGGAATCATATATGATATTCTATACTTGTTGACATATTTATGTAAACGTGCAATCATGCTAACAATACTCTGAGACACGAGAAAGGAATTCACTTTAAAACAAAACAAGCATCGATGTGATTATCTGTTATACATAGATATTATTATTTCATTGTCTGGTAACAGGTGGCGATTGTTTACTATCAACGTGCGTAGTCATGGCAACATTGTCTAGTATAAACAACAGGTGAAGTACACTACCAGGATGTCACGGTAAGATGACGAGATGGTTTTACATTACCAAATCTGTTGGCCTTCTACCTTCTTATACTTATGTAAAATAACATCTTTCCACGAGGCTCAATTTTCGGGTTTTTTTCCGAAAAAAAAAAAAAAAAGATTTTTCAGAGACACTTGATTTCGTAGATAAATATAGCTCAAATCTTGCTTGTATTCATTTCTTCAATTCATGGAAAAATGAATTATGATGACCCACGAAATCAACGAAGATTAAACCTTCATAAAAATTATGATTTAACAGTATATAGATGTAAATTTCCCTTGATATGAACAGCGTTCGCTTTAGGTTAAAAAGACCATATTTCCGCAGAAATTCGTGACATTATTAATATGACATACCCGGAAGATGATTGGATGCATATAGTGAGTTTGTTTGTTCTGTGTGCTCTTAGAAAATAAAAATAAAAACAAATATTAAAATTGCTCAACAACCGGAAAACCAAAAACTTTAGAAATCATTCAGCAAGGAGTTTAACAAAGAGCCAGCCAGTCTGCAACCTGGCGTTAAAATGTTTGTGTGTAGCTATGACACCAAACGGAACCAAAGCAGATAATCTATGCTGATTTTTGAATTAATGGTTATGCTAGATGATAATTAACTACATATTGATGACTGTGTAACACCTTCGAAACCATGCAACAGAAAGTGAAATACAGGATATAAATCACATATGAGTAAACCCAAACCGGAAATAAACAAACCAGCCAAGTGAATCCAAATGTTGCGGCGTGATCGGATCACCATGAACGCTCTGCCAAAACATTATGATGGTTACTAAACATTTACTTTGTAACTATCCGGTAATGTAAGTATTTATATAATATTAGGCTGAA